TTTTGTTTCTCAAGAAAAGGAATTAATAAATGACTTTGTCTTTACAGATTCTTCTCTTACCGAAGAAGCTTCACCTTCACACAGGAGAGACCATAGTGAGAGGAGCGACAGGAGGGACCGGAGTGAGAGAAGTGACAGGAGGGACCTTAGTGAGAGGAGCGATAGGAGGGACGGTAGTGAGAGTGAGAGGAGTCACTATCATAGGAGTGAGCGAAGGGAAGAACACAGGAGTGAGAGGCATTCTGGATACCATAGAAAGAAAACCAGATATGACAGTGACGATCGTACGAGGGAGAGGAGTTATTCAGGTATGTAATTGTTATTGTTCTGTTTTTGTAATTTGTTAATAATCCAAGCACTAGCCATTATGACTAGTAAGAATATGTTAGAATGATGGATGTATTTATATTGCAGGAAGATCTGACTGGGACAGTGGCAGGTGGGAATGGGAAGATACTCCACGGAGGGATAATGTGTCTAGCTCTAGACGTCATCAACCCTCACCATCTCCAATGTTCGTTGGCGCCTCACCTGATGCACGCCTAGTTTCTCCTTGGTTGGGGGGCCATACTCCTAATTCATGTATGTTATTTCAGTTTCCCAATATTTTATTTGGTTTCAAATGTCAAGACTGTATACGTGTAAAATAATCTTTGAGAAATAATTTTATTTTACTGCAGATACACCTTCTCCTTGGGACCATGTTTCTCCGTCTCCTCTTCCAATACGTGCTTCTGGATCTTCAGTCAAATCTTCTGTTTCTGAATATAATCGAAGGTCGCATGCATATAAGGTAGTTTTGTACCTAATGTCTGAACATTACTGTGTATTTGATGTTTTTTTTTATCATAGATAGAGTATGACAGCGATGTTTAACATATCACAAAAAACTAGCTACTAATAATTTTATTCTTCAGGATGAAATAGCAGGCAAGTCTGACTTGGATGAAAAATACTCATACACTGAGATAACCGAAAGCATGCGTGAAGAGATGGAACGCGATGCAGACCGAGCTTGGTATGTAATATAGTTTTGTAGGTTATTTTTCTTTTACATATTTTTGTACCCATTTTTCTACATTTGACATGTGGTATTGTATTGTTTATTATAATTAAGATTATTGTTATGAATTATGAAGGTATGATAGAGAAGAAGGCAGCACGTTTGATTCTGACAACTCATCACTATTTCTTGGAGATGAGGCTTCCTTTCAGAAGAAAGAGGCCGAGTTGGCAAAAAGACTGGTGACTTCTAGGATATCAATTATATATTTAAATTAAGTTATCTTTCCGTTGTATGTGCTTGATTGTCATGTGTTTGGAGAGTGATTGCTTATAGGATACCAATTATATATTTAAAATTTTAAACTAAATTATCTTTCCTCCTCCTGTTATTATTAAGTTGGTATTCTGTAAAAAATGTTGTTAAATAGGGAAATTGAAGATAATTATTGACCTTAAGGAGAGTCAATATAATGTAATATTGAACTGTGACAAAGTGTTCAATCTATTGGCACAGATCCGAAGAGACGGGACAAAGATGTCTCTATCTCAAAGCAAGAAATTATCTCAGCTTACAGCTGATAATGCTCAATGGGAAGATCGGCAACTGCTGAGATCGGGTGCTGTTAGAGGTACAGAGGTTCAGACTGAGTTTGATGACGAGGATGAACGCAAAGTCATTCTTCTTGTGCACGGTAATTATTGATCTTACCAACTTTGACAATTGAACTTAGAATTATCGATCTTTTTGGCTGAATATCTTTTCTGTTGGTTCACAGATACTAAGCCTCCTTTTCTCGATGGTAGAGTTGTTTTTACTAAGCAGGCAGAGCCAATTATGCCAATAAAAGATCCAACATCAGACATGGCTATAATTTCTCGTAAAGGATCTACTCTGGTAAGAGAAATCCATGAGAAACAGAGTTCAAATAAGTCTCGCCAACGCTTTTGGGAACTTGCTGGCTCAAAACTTGGTGATATCTTAGGCGTTGAAAAAACAGCAGAACAGGTATTCTTCTGGAATAACTTTGATATTCGCTTTTACTCTCTTCATGGTTTAAAGATATAGTCTTATTTGATTTATTTCCAAACGCAAGATTGATGCCGACACTGCTGTAGTGGGTGAAGATGGTGAAATTGATTTTAAGGAGGAAGCTAAGTTTTCACAACACATGAAAAAGGGAGAAGCTGTGAGTGACTTTGCTAAGTCAAAAAGTCTTTCAGAGCAAAGGCAGTATCTGCCTATTTTTTCAGTGCGAGAAGAGTTATTACAGGTTGGTTTTTCTGTATTACCTTAGGTGATTGTTTTTAGGATTGCTTTTTTTCAATCAAGATTTTTTTATTACAAAACATCACAACAAACAGTCTAAATGTTAAGACTACGATATCAAATATGCGTTGGACATGTCCATTCTGTTTTTTTTGGGTCCTAGTCATCAGGTCCTATGCAGTTAGATGACCACATTTGTATTTTTTTAATCATATACAAGACCCAAGTCCCCTTTCCTTATTTCATCATACACTGGAATGATGTAATTTCACATTTTTAACTGCTTGTTTTGGTTTCTTATTTCTTTTCACAATGTCTATATTTAGCATTCTCATATCTTCAATAATATTCTTTCCACTTTGATTTTCTAATTTAAACATATTTTTCTCATTGAGTTATAGCAACGATTTATTTATGATGTGTAGGTGATTCGTGAAAATCAGGTAATCGTTGTAGTTGGGGAAACTGGTTCAGGAAAGACAACCCAATTGACACAGGTTGTTATCATTTCCTTTTTTATATTATTAAACTATGTTATTCAATCAAGAAAGGAAAAAAAACATATTAAAATCACATGTTATTTGTTAGAAATAGGTAACCATGTTCATCAAAATGGAACTTGACATTTGGTGTTTCTGAACAGTATCTGCATGAGGATGGCTATACTATAGGTGGTATAGTAGGTTGCACTCAACCAAGGCGTGTGGCAGCTATGAGTGTTGCCAAGAGAGTTAGCGAGGAGATGGACACAGAGTTAGGTGATAAAATTGGCTATGCTATACGTTTTGAGGATGTGACTGGACCAAATACCATAATAAAGGTTAACACCTATTTATATTTTTGAGATTGACAAATGTTACTTGGTATATGTTAGTTATATTGTACTTGTGGGTGAGAAAAAAACCCTCAAGGCTCAACCTCCTTTTCACTCAACTCCTCCACCCCAGCCACTGAGCCAACCTTGTATAAAATCAAGATTAATCATTAGGCTTTGTTAAAAGTTTTATTTCATGATTTCTTTTCATCCTTAGACTTAGTATTCATGAGGCTGACATGTGTAATTGTGTGGTTACGTTAATTATAAACTTTCTGGTGCTTTGCTCTAAACTTTAGTGGTTAAATTTTACAGTACATGACAGACGGGGTACTTCTACGTGAAACACTTAAAGACTCTGATTTAGATAAGTATAGGTACGGTATTGACATATGTCCCCTCTCCAGATCTTGTTTGTTTGAGATAAAGACAATGTTGGTAATCCTTCTGTTTGAAATTGTTTCAGGGTTATTGTGATGGACGAAGCCCATGAAAGGTCATTAAGCACAGATGTCCTTTTTGGAATATTGAAGAAAGTTGTAGCCCAACGCCGTGATTTCAAGCTGATTGTTACATCAGCAACTCTGAATGCACAGAAATTCTCAAATTTCTTTGGAAGGTAATGTTAATTCTTCATCTAGCATTCTCTCTGGTTTTTAATAAACACTTTAGTTTGGTTTAATCTAATCGTGGCATCCTTGCAGTGTTCCGATTTTTCATATTCCTGGGAGAACATTTCCTGTCAATATATTATGGAGCAAAACTCCATGTGAAGATTATGTTGAAGCTGCAGTGAAGCAAGCTATGACTATTCACATAACCAGCCCTCCAGGTGACATCCTTATCTTCATGACTGGCCAAGACGAGATTGAGGCAGCTTGCTATGCCCTTGCTGAAAGAATGGAGCAGATGATATCATCTTCAAACAAAGAAGTCCCTAAACTTTTGATTCTTCCTATATATTCACAACTTCCGGCTGATTTGCAAGCAAAGATATTTCAGAAAGCTGAAGATGGTGCCCGCAAATGCATTGTGGCCACTAACATTGCTGAGACATCACTGACTGTGGATGGTATCTTCTTTGTCATAGACACAGGCTATGGTAAAATGAAGGTGTACAACCCTAGGATGGGTATGGATGCTCTCCAAGTCTTCCCTGTTAGCCGTGCTGCTGCTGACCAGCGTGCTGGCCGAGCTGGTCGAACTGGCCCTGGTACCTGCTATCGATTGTATACAGAGAGTGCTTACCTAAATGAAATGTTGGCCAGTCCAGTTCCAGAGATTCAGAGAACAAACCTTGGCAATGTGGTTTTGTTGCTGAAGTCTCTTAAAGTTGAAAATTTACTCGACTTTGATTTCATGGATCCACCTCCGCAGGATAATATTCTCAATTCTATGTACCAGTTGTGGGTGTTGGGTGCCCTTAACAATGTGGGGGGATTGACTGAACTTGGCTGGAAAATGGTTGAATTTCCATTAGATCCTCCACTTGCTAAGATGCTTTTGATGGGTGACCAGTTGGGGTGTCTCGAGGAGGTTCTTACTATTGTTTCAATGCTTTCGGTACCGTCGGTTTTCTTTAGGCCAAAGGACCGAGCGGAGGAGAGTGATGCTGCACGTGAAAGATTTTTTGTGCCTGAGTCTGACCATCTAACGCTTTACAACGTTTATCAGCAATGGAAACAACATGATTACAGAGGGGATTGGTGCAACGACCATTTTTTGCATGTTAAAGGTCTCAGAAAGGCTAGAGAGGTGAGATCCCAGCTGCTTGATATTCTCAAGACTCTCAAAATTCCTTTAACCACATGCTTTCCCGATACAGATGTTGTCAGAAAAGCAATTTGTTCTGCGTACTTCCACAATTCAGCAAGATTAAAGGGTGTTGGGGAGTATGTTAACTCTCGGAATGGGATGCCCTGTCATCTTCATCCCAGTAGTGCTCTCTATGGCATGGGTTGCACTCCTGATTATGTAGTTTATCACGAGTTAATTCTGACGACAAAGGAGTACATGCAGTGTGCCACAGCGGTGGAGCCCCATTGGCTCGCTGAGTTAGGTCCCATGTTTTTCTCTGTGAAAGAGTCTGATACATCACTACTAGAACATAAAAAGAAACAGAAGCAAGAGAAAACTGACATGGAAGAGGAAATGGAGAATTTAAAGAAGGAGCAAGCAGAGTTCGAGAGGGAAAATAAACAGAAGGAGAAAGAAAAAATGGCCAAGAATCAGCAGCAAATATCCATGCCAGGTTTGAAAAAGGGTTCGTCCACATTCTTGAGACCAAAAAAGTTTGGTTTGTAATTATTGAACTCATGGGAGAGAGGGAGGTGAAAAAAAGCCTATATTCCAATTTTAAGGAGTAATTGGCCAATTACAAAAAATTGTTATTGATTTGTAACTCAAGTTATTTTCTCTGGTCATACTTCCTGCTCCTCGGGTTACTGTTATGTATATGTTGTATTGACTGATAGAAGAAATTCACCAGTTACCAAATGGCCATCTATTTAGAACTTGTAATATAGTGTTCCGCTGTCATCCATTTATCTTTCAGCCTTTTTCTGTACAAAACACAAGTGATTAGTACTTAAAAAGATATTTTTGAGAAAATTTTCTCTGCACAATGAGATATTTGTTTAGATAAGTGCATCAGACTTATCTGTTGATTGAAGAAACCACTAATAGAATTGTTGCTTGAATTGTTTTGGCAAAATAGTAGTGCTAAGCATCTCCAGCCATGGTATTCTAAATAAGTTTCATGAGTTAAGATGCTTTTTCAGATCCCCCCCCCCCCCCCCCCCCCCCCCCCCCCCTCTATTGGAGCATGTTTACATGGCAGATAATGATAGGATTAACAGTACCCACTAGAACAATTATAGAGAAAGGGAAATTGCAAAGAACTTGAACTTGCGATTTTTCATTGATTAAACAAAGGAAATACAATATGCAAAACTACAAGAGCAGTTTGCTCTCTGAGAAGATAACTTCTGACATAGTAATTTCCAAGTAAACTTCAACATAATATAAAAAAACAATAAACAATAATTTAAATACAATCCACAGCATCACTCAATAACTAACTATTTAAATTTAAATTAACACACTAATATTATATTACTTATTTATTTAATTTCTCCTTTGATAAATCCTCCAAATAACGGATTTACCTTTTTCCTTAGTGTGTGCTCTATCAGATAATCTATAATGGAATAGTAAAATAGTGAAATGTGTTTTATTTAAGGTACTGGATCATAAAAACAATATGTATGAGTTGTTGGAATATGATTTGACATCAGGGAAACCATATAGTAGTGTACTGAAATTAAAATGATTGTTTTAAAAATAAAAATTAGAAATCCAGCATATTTTGGGGAAATTTTGGCCACCTCTAGTTTCCTAAACTATATCTGAACAAGATTGGGTTGCAATCACATTTTACGAAGAATTAATATTTGTTTAGAATCAAATGTTATTTCTGACTTAACTAGTAAATTCATTGTAAACTTCTGAATTGTTATTTCTGAATTAACTAGTAAACTCATTGTATATTTCTGAATTGAATTTGAAAGTGTACAAGTTAACTAGTAGATAACAGCCTAACAAATTTTCCTAAAAAGATGGAATTTAGTTAACAAACTTAATTAACAATTAACTCTAACGACACCCCCCCTAAGTTGGAATGTAGATGCAGGCCAAGCTTGGACACAAACTGCAAAAATATCAACTAGTTGTTGTGGTGAAGAGATATGTAAAAGATGAAATAGCTGCTGCCACAATTTTTCTTTGACCAAGTGGCAGTCTAGTCCTATGTGTTCGTTCTCTCTTGAAATGAGTTGGCAACAATATGTCTAGCATATTGGCTGTCAAAGTACAACAGAGATGAGTCCAAATGTTGTAATTTGACATCTTGAAGGAGGTAAGACAACTATACTCTTATATTTTGCATTTCATTTACAGTGGAGGCCATTCTATACTCTGCCTCAAATGAACTTCTAGAAACTGTCGATTGTTTTTAGATTTCCATGAAATTAGTAAGTTGTCAAGGAATATGTAGAAACAGACACAAATCTTCTTGTGTCGGGGAATGTAGCCTAGTCAGAATCACATGAGGCTTTCATTTGAAGAAATGAGAAACATAGAATCTATCATAAGAGAGGACAAAAAATAGAGTATAAAGGAACAATAGTACCAAAGTTATGTGTGAAGTTGCATTTGAAGTTCTGCAAATATCTTGGAGGCCTTGTGAGTCTGTTTGATTTTCTGGTTCTGACAGGAGCAATTTGACAAGTCTCTTGAAGTTGATAAGGGCAAGGTGTGTATAATAGGAGGCACATGTGAGTTGGATGTATGCAGAGAATCATGATGATCATTGTGAGATTTTGGAGGAATGTGATGGTCATCTCAGGGTAATTCATAAAAATAGTGTTGTCATAAGAATGTCCCCAGGAATGGTGTTGGTCATCTTATTGATGTGATAACTAGCATCGAGTAAAGCATGAGTCCAAAAACACTTTAGACATGTGAGCATGAAAAAAATATGTTGAGTTAACTCTTTGAAAACTTAAAAATACTCTTCAAATGTGTATATCCAAACACATCTTTCAACATGTTTTAGACATGCACATCTGAAGATACTATTTTTCTACGTTTTAATACCTAAATGTTGAATTTAAAATTTTAGAGGTAGTTTCGGATATGCATATTTAAAACTACCATTGTCATATTAGATTGTTGTATGGTCACCCCTTCCAACTATTTCATTCATTTTCTTTTTCCCCATAACCAAAATCTTCAACAAAACTTCAACCATTCTCAAACAATTTTTCGTCTCCAAACCAAGTTTCAAGTGTTTGAGCATATCAAAGATAACATAGAAAACTGCAATTTGAGGTAAATTTTTCTCATTTCATCTCACATTCCTTGCATTGATGCTGGTTTGTGGATGAAAAAAATAATGTCACTTCAGATATGCATATCCGAATTTCACCTATCATAACTCGGATGTGCATATCCGAAAACATGTTTGTTACAGAAACAGAAAATTGTTTTAACATAATTTATGTTTTTTTTGCCCGTGTTAGGTATGATGCACTCTGACAATATTTCCAAAACTGTCGTAAAGGTTCCGGACAAGGTCAATGAAGATGCTAAGCTGAATGAGATGAAAGACGTTGATAAAACGATTGATGTTGTGATAGATGTTGGACAACAATTTACAAATGGTAAAAGTTTCACCTCTCGTCAACATATGCTTGAATGAGATCGAATAAAAGCCAACAAACTTGGGTTTAGTGTTGTGATTGGAAGGTCCGACAATGATACTAGTAGAAGACAACCATTTGTTGTGATGACATGCGAGAGAAGTGAGAAATATGTTTCAAAACTTCGCAAGTTAAAACATGACGACACGTGATCGAGGAAATGTGAATGTCCGTTTAAATTGTGTGGTTCTTGTAGGGTGGGTGATTCGTGGCGGTTTAGTGTCATTTTTGGTATGCATAATTATGCGTTGGACACCACGCTACAAGGGCATTCAATTGTATGCCGGCTTAAGACGAAAGAGAAGAAATCTATTTTAGAATTATCATTAATCAAAGTTGCGTCAAGAAACATACTTGCCGGTTTAAAACAGAAAAGACCAAAAAATGTTTCAAATATCAAGTCAATTTACAATTATCGTTATAAACAACACATTTCACAAAGAGGTCTGAGGTTTGAAATGTAACATCTTTTAAAACTTTTGGAAGATAACCACTACGTTTCCAAGTACAGAGTTTGTGAGGACAACATCAGTATTCATGACATATTTTGAACTCATTCAGAAAGTATCAAGTTGCTCAAAACATTTTCAACCGTCCTTATGATTGATTCGACGTGCAAGACCAATAAGTATAAGCTTTCGCTTCTAGAAATTGTTGGTGTCACCTCTACGGATAATACATTTTTTGGTTGGATTTGGTTTTTTGGAATGTGAGAAAGAAGACAACGTCACATGGGCATTGAGTATATGCAAGACTTTGTTGAAGTATCCACAGAGTATTCCTAATGCCACTGTTATCGGCCGAGATAACTCCCTTATGAATGCGGTTGGTAGTGTGTTTCCTACATCAACCGTATTACTTTGTCGCTATTATATAGCAAAAAATGTGAGATCTTGGCTCAAATTCGTAGTCGACACCAAAGAAAAAAGGGTGAAGACGGAAATATGATCAAATTCGGTGTTGTGGTGGAGAAGATAATGATTGTATGGACGAATATTCTAAATTCTACCACGGAAGAGTTGTATATTGAGAATGTGGTACACTTCAGGATCTTGTTTGTTGAATGCTGTGAATATGATATTCGAAAAACCAAAGGTGCGTCTAAAAAGATGAAAAGTACACAAGGTGACAATTCAACAAAGCAAACTCCTTCTTACCATGAAGTTGTTGATTCACTATTCTCGAATTTTCCAAACCCCAAAATCCAAAACAAGTGTTAATAAGTGAGCTCACATTTCCAAACCACCTCGTACACCGCCTATTAAAAAATAACCATAAACACCTCCGATTAAAAACCATCGATAATCTACATTGATGAGATGTCGCTTTTTATGCACAAACACATTGAAAGAATCATGGATGTGGGGAGTGATGGTAATTGCGGATTTCATGACGTGTCTGGTTTACTTCGTAAAGGAGAGGAGAATCACACTCTTGTGCTTCAAACACTTTTTTCGGGGTTGACGGTGTATAGTGAAATTTATAAACGACTATATGTGACTAAGAAAGCATTCAATAAAGTTCACAATGCTCTTATTTTAAGTGTTAGCGTTCACGCACCAGTTGAGAAGTGGACGAGCTTCCCTGAAATGGATCATCTTATAGCAAGTGTATATGAGAGGGTGTGTATCGACTCAAGATATATGGTTTTTCAGAAACATTTTTTCCACTTCGGACTCCCGTAACACCCTATTTTCCCCATCGATAATTTAATAAAATCAGAGTAAATTAAAATTTAAATCATCAAATAGGATGTCACAATCATTCATCATCATACAAATTGCTCAACATTTAACAGTTGGATACATAACACGCTTAATTAGGGTGAACTGACAACATCTTCAAAATATGATTTTCAACTTCTTCTTTATTAATGCAACAGAAACAATCCAAAAGATAACTGGTCAACAACCTAACAATTCATAAACAACGTCTCCTCAAGTAAAAAAGAGTTTAGAATACTCTGACAATTTTATAAAAGAAACAATCAACCACTGAATAAACAAACAAGCATTCAACCTCAATGTTACGTATTAGAGCAGG